CACATGCATATGAATAAGAATACATAAATATAGCCTAGATACACTGTATGTATGTATGTATGTAAGATAGATAGATAGATAGATAGATAGATAGATAGATAGATAGATAGATAGATAGTATGTTTACATAGTATATCTACATTATGTGTGGACTGGCTGGATAGCGGAATGTCACTCTTGGAAGTGGAAGATCAAGGTTCGAATCTCTAATGCTTCACCTGACTACCTTGGATATGAGAATGACACGAACTAAAGACTCATACCAGTTTAGTAATCTCTCAGAACAGAAACAAGTCACCATTACATTAGCAGACATCCAACAATGAAAAGACCTGAACAGTACCTGACAACCAGTGGTGGGATTCAGCCAGTTCGCACCACTTCGGGAGAACCGGTTGTTAACTTTCTGAGCAGTTTGGCAAACTGGTTGTTGGAAGAAATCATTAGGGCAGAGATCCGGTTGTTAAATTACTTGAATCCCACCACTGCTGACAACTACTGGCTAAAGAACTTAACAGTACTCCATGAATGCTTAGCAGCACAGATGAACTAGCTACTAGCATCAGGCTCCCACCCAGACTGACTAACACAAGGACAGTACTGATCATGAAAGACCCCTATACGCAAACAGTACCATCTATCTATCTACCAGCCAGTAACCTGCCTCCCCGCAAGATGGAAAGTCCTATAAAGCATCATAGCCACCAAGTTATACAACCATATGTATATTAGCATGGCTCAGAAGTATTGGAAACAACACCAGGAATCACAAAACACCAGTTGCCCATAGACAGAGCAGTTATCCAAGATTCAAGGTGTAGATAGACCAATTTGAGCAGTCTGAACTGACTACAGGAAAGCCTGTGACTGAATGCCACATACATGGATCTGTGAATGCCTGATGCTATACAAAGTCAACAGAACATTAAGGACCTTCCTCAAGAATTCAATGGGACTGTGGATTGCAGCACTAGAAGTCAACTCAAGACAAGTGGTCATCAAGTGTAGCATATACCAAGTGATGCAGTGCTGCTGTTCTATATAGGTTTGAGCCCCCTCAGCCAAATAATTACAAGGACTAGCTATGGATACAAGTTCAGGAGTAGAACTACCATCAAGCCAACTTGTATGGATACAAGTTCAGGAGTAGAACTACCATCAGCCAACTCAGTTTGATGTCATCCATGGATGACATCAAACTGATGCTCAGGGTGAATGAGACATTCACTCCCTGATCCACCTGACATGGATCTACAGGGATGTAATTCAGACGGGAGATGTGTGGCTGGCAGCTAGTGAAGAGAGACTGATGGGGTGGAGCTGTCAGCAGGCAACATAGCAAACCAGCTACAAGTATCTTGGCATCACACGGTCACATGGGAACCACAATGAGGAAGCAAAGAAGGCCACAATTTTCAAATACCACCAAAGAATCAGACAAGCCCTGAAGAGCCTACTCAATAGGAAAAAATAAATCCATGCCATCAACACTAGGCTCTATCAGTCCTCAGATATCCTGCCAATATAATGAGCTCGCCAAAGGAGGACATGAAGGCTGCCCATGTGAAGAACTGGAAGGCCTTCACAATGTAGAGGTGTTTCCATCCCAACTCCAATACCCAAAACTACACCAACTGGGCTTGGTCTAGTGCATGTCCAAACCATGGTCCTGGATGAAATCTAGTTTAGCCAGTGATTTGTCATGTCAACAAACCCTACCAATCAAAGGATCACTAGATCCTTTGCTGTTTGGTTTATTCTTCTGTTAGAACATATCCCAAAAGATTCAGGGGGAAACACTGAGAAAAATTATTATATTGCTCTTATACTTTCCTTAGTTCTCAAACTATTTGGCAATGACCTCTACTATAACCCCTGTTATTTGATAGATTGTCTCATATTAATATTAACATATTAAAAACAAGCCCTCTGTTTTTCCCCATCATTTGCCTTTTAATGAATAATTAATTTATTCACAATCATATTTGTTGTGTGAGTAGACCTAAAATAAGTGTTGGTAGACTATTGCAATATCACATACAATTACATTAAATCACTGTATGTTATATTCACAATACTGATAACACAGACAGTCTCAAAGTATTTTTTGAGCAACAGAAGATACATCATTATGGAGTGGTGCAGTGGCCTAGGGGTGGAACTCTTGCCTCACAATCAGGAGGCTGTGAATTCAATCCTAGTAGAGGCAGATATTTCTCTCTCTGGGCACAATGAGAATATATCTGCTGAACAAATCTCCACATTGGCGTCAGGAAGGGCATCCGGCTGATAAACACTCTGCTAGCTCCATTGAGTTGCCCAGACTCCACATCGCAAGGGATTATGGGGTCGTTGAAGGAGGATGATAAGATACATCATTAAAAAATGATCTTGAAGACCAGAAATTCTAACAATCTGGAAGGTTAAGGTATCAAAGGGTGATGGATTTGTCAATCTCTAGCAACAGATTACAGTAAGGTAGAGCAGAGCAGAACAGAGTACATACTGTATATGTAGATATGTAGTAGCAGAGTAGGATATTTTTTGAATTGATTCAGCATGACTTTTGAATTGATTCAGCATAACTGTAGGCTATTTTCAAAATCACTTGAGGGCAGTGGTGAAATCCAAATATTTTTACTACCGGTTCTGTGGCCGTGGCTTGGTGGGCATGTTGTGACTTGGTGGGTATGACTTGGCGGGCGTGGCACGGAAGGATACTGCAAAATCTCCATTCCCACCCCACTCCAGGGGAAGGATACTGCAAAATTTCCATTCCCACCCCACTCCAGGGGAAGGATACTGCAAAATCTCCATTCTCTTCCCACTCCTGGAGGAAGGATATTGCAAAATCTCCATTCCCACCCCACTCTGGGGCAAGCCAAAGGTGGCATTTGTCAGTTCTCTGAACTACTCAAAATTTCTGCTACCGGTTCTCTGAATTGCTCAAAATTTCCGCTACTGGTTCTCCAGAACCTGTCAGAACCTGCTGGATTTCACCCCTGCTTGAGGGGTGCTGTGTTCTTTTCTACCCCATGATATCTTTACCTTTAGAAGAGTAACGGGGAATATTTCAGATATTTATTGTAGTGAAACCTTGGAAGGAATCTAAATGAATGGTTAATAACTTTGAAAGAATACATCCTACCTGCTATTTTCATCAGTTTTGAAAAAAAAAAAAGAAAAAGAAAAAGAAAAAAAGATGTTGGGGAGAGAAACCTCTTCAGGCAGTTTGGTGCTTATATCTGGAGTTTAATCTATTATTGAAGCCTTCCTCCACTTTGCCCTCAGTAGCTTTCAGGTATTACATCCAGACAGTGGTTAACGTGGCCCCTAATTGATGGATTTCCTTGCTTCTTTTCTACTCAGATGCCTGTCAGGGAAACAAGTACTAACTGCTTTCTATTCTGTGGATATCTCCTTTGAGGACAGATTTCTTTTTTTAAAAAAAGACCAAAAGTTCCTGTTGTCACTTGGGCTAAAAGGAAAAAAAATGGGAAAGAAAGAGAAAGATGAAAAGGTCAAACTATTTCCAAAGCATCAGAAACAGTGGTGGGTTCTTCCCGGTTCGGTCCAGTTCGGCCGAGCCGGTAGCGGTGACGATATGATGTCACCGAACCGGTTCTCCCCCCCGCCCTCCCCCCACCCACATTATTCTTACCTTTTATTTGGTCCCACCCCCAATCTATCGCTGCCTCCTGAGTCCCAGCTGATGACTAGAGGGAAAAAAACTGTTTAAACTCTTGCCGCGGGGCTTCAAAGGGCCGTCCTACAGCTGATCAGTGTTAAAAGCAAACAAATGAGTAGGGTCATAAGTGCGAGGACTGGTCGTAAGTGCAAGGACCTTCCAGAAATGACTCTGACCAGCTAGCCACGCCCACCTAGTCACATGACCTCCAAGCCACACCCACAAAATAAGCCATGCCCACAGAACTGATAGTAAAAAAATTTAGAACCCACCCCTGATCAGAAGGCAAGGCAAGAAACAATGGATAGAAACTATGGTGAGAAACAACCTAGAACTAAGGAGAACTTTCTCAATGGTGAGAAGCAATCAACCAATTGAATAGCTTGCATTCAGAAGTTGTGGGTGCTCCATCATTGGAGGCTTTCAAAAAGAGATTGGACAACCATTTGTCTGAAATAATATAAGGTCTCCTTCTCGAGGAGGGGTTGAGTTAGAAGACTTCTAAGGTCCTTTCCAATTCTGTTATTCTGTGTTCTATGAGAGGGGGGGAGAGGAAGGGAGGGACGAGGGAGGGATGAGGGTGGAGAGAGAGGGGGGGATGGGGGAGACCACTATTCTTCTACTGGATCTGTTTGTTCAAAAAAAAAAACCCTTCCCAAATCTTTTAACGGGGACACAGTGACTCAGTGGCTAAGATGCTGAGCTTGTCGATTGAAAAGTCGGCAGTTCAGCAGTTCAAATCCCTAGTGCCACGTAATGGGGTGAGCTCCCGTTACTTGTCCCAGCTTCTGCCAACCTAGCAGTTCGAAAGCATGTAAAAAAATGCAAGTAGAAAAATAGGGACCACTTTTGGTAGGAAGGTAACAGCGTTTTGCGTGCCTTTGGCCTTTAGTCATGCCAGACCACGGAGACGCCTTCAGACAGCACTGGCTCTTCGGCTTTGAAACAGAGATGAGCACCGCCCCTTAGAGTCAGGAACGACTAGCACATATATGTGAGGGGAACCTTTACCTTTAAAACTTTTAAAGACAAAACAAAGGGAAATGATGGCTACTATTTCAGCCTTCCTAGATTCTTCAGAGAAGTCCCATTAGCGTGTATAAAACAAACTAGCAAAGACTAGTAGTTAAAGGTCCAAGTCTTCCAGAACACAAACCAAGCAACTGAATCAAGGCAACTGACCTTGACCTGCTCATGCACCGTATTTCTTGAGAAAGAAAGTTTCTGATAATGGAATGTTTTGATTCTCTCTTAATAGCCTAGTCTCTCAAAAATATGTCATTTTACATCAGCTTTGAGATACATTACATACATGAATGTACAGTTGTCTTTATCCCCTGCAACAGATTGAATTTGTTCCACGATAGAAGGGGGAGCATTGTCTTCAACCAATTGTACAGGGTTGTTCTTTATTACATTTTTCTCTGTTTCTCTCTGGGTATCATTTTCTCCTTTGGACGAGGATGGCACATGATTTCCAATTCTCCAGTGCTCCTCCTAAAAACAGATCATAGGATAAAGGATATATCAAACAGATATCATGTCTGAGCTTTAGAAGGTAGCCCTGGCTCACTCTTTCATTTTCTTCTTTGGAGTCTTAATGTGGAAAGAAAGGAAACACAGCGTCTATCTTTTGGTATTATCTTTCTAAATATCTTACGTTGACCCCTCCTCGATCATCTTTTGTAGGTCTTCTATAACAAGATAATTTTTTGTTCTTATGTATTATCTTTTAAGGCTAAAAGTGTCACATCTAAAGGACAAGGTGAGCCTTTAGTACTTTCAGCAAAATACAGGAAAGATGAAGAAAGAATTTAAGTGATAAGCCCCAAGATGCTAAGAAAAGGATATAAAACCATTGTTTTAAAGTGGGGTGGGCAATGTTTTGAGGACTCATTGCCATAGGATCGATTTTTAGGCTGACAGTGAGTGATGTGGCCAAAGCAAAATGAGGATGAAGCCATGGTTAAACTGGTACTACTATTATTTCTTTCTGACATTGTTTTTTCCCCCCAAATATCTCATCTATCTCTCTCCCCCTCTTCCTCTCCCTCTTCCCCTCTCTTTTTCAGAATCTTTTTTCTCTCTCATTCCCTCTCCACTTCTTGCTTTTTTCAATGCCTCTTCTCCCTCAGGATGCAAAAAATAGCTCCGTGACGGTGCAGCTATATGGTGCTTATTTTTAGCTTCATATGACTGCTAAAGTAGGCATTGAAAGCAAAAGTGATAGTGTCCCAAGCATGGATGTTGCAAGGGATTAATCCTCTCAGGCAAAAAAATTTAGATTACATGAGGTGAGTTAATTAATCAGAGAAAGTTGGTTTAGGGGAAGCTAGTTTATAACTGCAAGCCAGTTTTTGTTGCTGTGGATATAAGCCCTATGCTAGAAAGTGGGAAAACATGAATTCTAGGCCTCCTTTAGGGCTAAAACTATTGGGTTACTTTGAGGTAATCACTCTTTCTTAGCCCTAGGAAGAAGAAGGCAATGGCAAACTATTTCCAAAAACGCTGTCAAGAAAACTGTATGGACTTGGGTCACCAAAAATCCATAATGACTTGAAGACAGCCAAAGGGGGGGGTACCTTAAACACCTAGTTTAATCAGGATTGGATGCGATTCAACAAGCTGAGATTTAGGAATTGCATTGCAGATGTACCAACCATCTTGTCCTCTAAGACTCAGTTAAGACATGGCTTCTGCAGGGTCAATTTCCTGTGTCAAAGTTGGATTACATTTCCATCTCACTGCAGAATGTTTCAACCACATATTCTGCCATTGTTCCAGTCTTGTTAGCATTCATAAGACAAGCTTCTTCTTCTTCTTATGCCCTAACAGACCTTTAAATGTAAAATTTACAGACATTTCTAAACTTCTGTTTTCACTTTGTCATAATGGGGTAGTAAGTGTAAATTTATGAGGAAAAAAAATGAATTTCAAACAACTGTAGAACCAGGCTGCAGCATAAACAACATTCACAAAAGTGAAGGAGGTCTGAATACTTTCTGAATGTACTGTATAGTCCTGTTGTTGAGTCCTCGCGGCTACAACTTCAGCCCAGTGGAGCTGTTGCTAACCAACGCGGATTGGCTAAGACGCGAGCAGAGAATTTGCGGGAGATCCCTGCTCGCGTATTGGCCCATCCCGGATGACAGGCTCCTATTTAAGGAGCTGTCAGATGTTATTGTTGCTCTCGTTACGTTCGTTCATGTTGTTTCCATTTCCTGTTAATAAAAGTTGGTGTTTAACTATAGCCCAGCCTCCGATAATTATTGCCACGCCAATGAACAAAACACCTGTGATGGCGAACCTATGGCACATGTGACACAGCTGGCACACGTAGCCCTATTGGTGGGCACGCGAGCTCAGCTCCGGCGTGCATGTGCGTGCCGGCCAGCTGATTTTTAGACCTTCTGGGCCCACCAGAAGTAGGGAAACAGGCTATTTCCTGCCTCCGGAGGGCCTCCAGTGGGGGTGGGGAAGGCCGTTTTCACCCTCCCCAGACTCCTAGAAAGGCTCTAGAGCCTGGGGAGAGAGAAAATCAGGCCTACTGGGAGCATGGGGATTGTGGGGAGTTCGCGTGTGCATGCGCAGGGGTGGGGTGCATAGAATTATGGATGTGGGAATGCGTGCGTGCGTGAAACACACACACACACACACACTGCTAGCATGCTATGGCAAAAAGGTTAGCCATCACTGGTATAGTCTAAGAAGTTATAAGATTGAGATATTTTGGGATGACTTTTTTTTTCATTTTTATTTTATTTCCAATTTTTGATATTTTAAACTTCTTAGCCCATATCTGAAATATGGGCAGGTCCTGAACTGAGGTGGAGTGGTAACTATCACTAGGCTAAGGCCAAGGGCAGAGTCAAACAGATCATCATTTTGGAGTCTTTAGGCCCCTGTAAGAGACCTAAGTCTAGCCTCCTTTGAAGTCCATTGACTCTTAGCTGGTGCCAATTTACCTTGGCCGTTAGAAGTTCAGATTCCTGTGTATAGGCAGCATGAAATAAATTTGTAGTACTTTTTGAACTCTATTCTCCTTCCTGACTTCTTGCACATATCCACTATGGATGCTCTACAATCAATTATTTCACCTGTGGTGGATGAAGATGATGCAGTAGCTACACACTGTGCACTGCATTGCTTGTTGTATTGCACCTCTATTCCTATGGAATTTGCATTTCCCCTTCCTTATGGACCAAATGCAGCTGGTAGAATAAAGATGCTTTTAACACATGCTCCGCTTTGGGAACATTTCAAGGAAATGATATGAATAACCTTTATCTCCAATTTGTCAGGGATACATTTTATCTCACGTTTCATTGGAGGAAGCTCTAAAATATGCCAGCTATTAAATTTTCCAAGCAAGGGAATCTGAAACAATTCAGTAATAAAACTGATCCAAATTGATGTAAATCAGCAAGTGCAAGTTCCTCATCTCAACATTTTGCTTGGTCTTTAATGGTCTAAAGGCAGGTTATCAAACAATGAAAGTATTATAGATAAGGTCAAGAATGTAAATCAGCCTCCATCTCACCTTCAGAATATGGTATCTTCACAGGTCCATCACTTTTTTTAGACAAATTACTGCTCATCCAATTATTTTTTTGAGTTATCTGCGTTCCAAGAAAAGCTTTTAGCTTCTTGAAATGTCAAGTGTCACCTTCAGTTTATTTAAAGGGTATATATATATATGTCTTTGGTTATTCGGGTTTTCTCCCGCGTAAAATTGGAAGTGTCTTGGAAGCCAAGAAAACCGGAATAACCAAAGACCTACATAAAAACACCCACGAAAACCTCAGAAAACAAATGTGTGTGTGTGTGTGTGTGTGCGCGCGCGCGCACGCGCGCAAGTTTTGGTGTATTCGGGTCTTTTCCCGTGTAAAATTGATAGTATCTTGGCGACGTTTCGACGAGGTCCCACTCGTCATCTTCAGGCTGGTGTCTTTGGCTTCATGCCGAAGACACTTCGCCTTCAGCTTATTTAAAGAGGATATATATATATATATATATATATATATATATATATATATATATATATATATATGTAGGTCTTTGGTTATTCGGGTCTTCTCCCACGTAAAATTGGAAGTGTCTTGGCGACGTTTCGACAAAGTCCAAAGACCTACATACAAACACCCGCGAAAACCTGAGAAAACATATATATATATATATATCCCCTTTAAATAAGATGAAGGATATAGTATATGTGCACATACATGAATACCACAGGTGAGGAGGAGGAAGAAGAAAAAGAGGAGAAGGGAGCAGGGGAATTGTACATTATTTATGTAAATTTGTTTTACTGATTTGCTTTATGCTCAAGGTGGCTTTGATATTGGTATAAAAAAAATCAGTATCCTTTCCCTGCCATGCCCACCAAGCCACAGCCACCAAGCCATGCCCAAAGAACAGTAGTAAAAAAAATTGGATTTCACCACTGTAATAATGACTTATTTGACTGTATGTTGCTAGGAGTGAGTAGGCACCTATATAAATTTTCTAAATATATCAATGAAATAAAAATAATACATGCAATGCTGAGAAAACCATGTCAGAAAGAATGGTAAATGTTCACACTTTTACCTGTCCAAATATCCCAAATGGAGTGCCAGAAATGTCCATGAGAACAATGCTATGGTCTGTTGAAGAAGTCACAATAAAAAGACAGTTGTTTTGCCAACAAGACTCCAGGCTAGTGATGCAATCTTCATGTGCCTGAAATGATCTTAGTAGAGCAGGTGGTTGTGTTATGATGTTTTCTCCTGGAGCAAGGCAGTAATCCTGATGGAGAGCAAGGGGGAAATAAAGAGAAATAGGAGAAACGTAAGTATACCAATTGCTTTGGGTTTGGTTTAGTTTTTAACCATATTGTCAAGTTTAAAGTAGGTTAAGAAGGCTCATGTAACATGTGGGCAATACATGGAAATAGTTAATAAGGCTACATAAATATATGGTGTCCATTTTGGCAGTCTTCAGATATACCACAGTGGCATCATATAGTCCTTAGATTAATTTAAATACTTACACGATCCGATATCCTAACAGCGTATGCAGTGGTGGATTCCAAAAAAATTTACTACCATTTCTGGGGGTGTGGCTTGGTGGGTGTGGCATGGCTTGGTGGGCATGGCAGGGAAAGGATAGTGTAAAATCTCCATTCCCTCCCCAATCCAGGGGAAGGTTACTGCAAAATCCTCATTTCTCCCGATCAGCTGGGACTTGGGAGGCAGAGAATAGATGGGGGCAGGGCCAGTCAGAATTTTTACTACCGGTTCTCCAAACTACTCAAACTTTCCGCTACTGGTTGTCCAGAACTGGTCAAAACCTGCTGAAACCCACCTCTGAGCATATGTATGAATATAGTACCTTGTATTGTAGCTATAGCAATTGGCAAACATGATTGATCACTGAACTCCTGGAAGAGCAGCAACTGAATGGAAAGATCTACGTTATCAGCTATGCTGAGAGCTGCTGTATTCAAAAGAACATGAATCAACTCCATCAGAAACAGGTGTTTGGTTCAACATCCTTTTCCATTAGTGTCCAGATGAATCTAAGAAACCCCAAACTATGACAATTTTTTTGCCTGTTTGCTTTGTTTCTACTTGGAAACCATTTCTGGTTATTTAATAGTCAACTTCGGCAGAACATGGAGGTTCCATAATTCATAATTACTCAGAAACACTTCCCCTATGAAAGTATACCCCACTTTTATTACTTTTGTAAAAACCTCAAATCTAATTCTCCTTTTCCCCAACAACAACCATTTTAACAATTCCATTTCAAACTCAATAAAAAGTATGTAACCAAGCATTCACATAAAGTAGAAATATGCCTCTTGCACACAACTGTATACATCAATTTGTCTTCATAGTTATGGTTTGACATGCAAAATACACAGCTGTCTGGTAGAAATATGCATGCAAAGGATGCATGCATGAAGTGTGTATGAGTTTAAAGAGAGAGGCTACACAGTATGTGAGATATTTGTTGTGGGCTTGCTCAACTTTTGGACTTCTTCATAAGTATAATGCCCAAATAGGATTTGTAAATCATGTTAAGCTGTAAAAGCTTGGCCTGGTTTTATCTTAATATGGTATGTGACCCCAGATATATTGGTTTCTAAACCATGTTATTTATTTATTTATTTATTTATTTTATTAAATTTGTATACCGCCCTTCTCCTACTGGACTCAAGGCGGTGCACAGCCAAAATAAAAAACATCCCAATACAAAATTTAAAATTTGTTAAAAGAATTACACAACTTTGGCCTAAATTTAAAATCCCGACTAAAACCCATAGACGATTAAAAATCTAACATCTCAAAAGGGGGGGGGGGTTTATGCCAGCCCTGCTTGGTGAAAAAGAAAGGTTTTTAGGGCACAGCAAAAAGCCCTGAGATCTGGTATCATACGTATCTCCGGGGACAGGTCGTTCCAGCGGGCAGGTGCTGCCACAGAGAAGGCCCTCCCCCTGGGGGTCGCCAGCCGACACTGCCTGGCTGATGGCACCCTGAGGAGTCCCTCTCTGTGGGAGTGTACTGGCCAGTGGGAGACTATCGGCAGCAGAAGGCGGTCCCGCAAATACCCAGGTCCAATGCCATGGAGCGCTTTAAAGATGGTAACCAGTACCTTGAAGCGCACCCGGAAGACCACCGGAAGTCAATGCAGCTCACGCAGGAGAGGCATCACATGGGAGCACCCCCCTCGCTCCCATAATCCCCCCTGCACCAGTTGGAGCCTCCGGATGCTCCTCAAGGGGAGCCCCATGTAGAGAGCATTGCAGTAGTCCAGGCGGGAAGTGACGAGTGCCTGAGTGACTGTGCGTAAGGAGTCCCGATCCAGAAAGGGACGCAACTGGTGAATCAGGCGAACTTGATGAAAAGCCCCCCTGGCCACGGCCGTCACATGCTCTTCTAAAGACAGCCATGCATCCAGGAGGACGCCCAAGTTGCGAGCCCTCTCCGTGGGGGCCAATGAGTCGCCCCCAATAGCCAGCGATGGCACCAGCTGGCTATATTGGGACGCCGGAAGCCACAGCCACTCAGTCTTGGAAGGGTTGAGTCGAAGCCTGTTACTCCCCATCCAGATCCGCACGGCCTCCAGGCACCAGGACATCACTTCAAGGGCATCGTTGGGATGGCCTGGGGTGGAGATGTACAGCTGAGTATCATCAGCATACTGATGGAACTCCACGTCAAAGCCACGGATGATCTCGCCCAGGGGCTTCACATAAATGTTGAACAGAAGGGGCACCCCACAAACAAGGCACCTCGGGGTTGACCTCTGCCCCCCCTGCCAACACCGACTGCATCCGGTTGGAGAGATAGGAGGAGAACCACCGCAGAACGGTGCCCCCCACTCCCAACCCCTCCAACCGCGCAGCATGATACCATGGTCGATAGTATCAAAAGCCGCTGAGAGATCTAACAGGACCAGGATAGAGGAACAACCCCTATCCCGAGCCCTCCAGAGATCATCCACCAACGCGACCAATGCCATTTCCGTGCTGTGCCCAGGCCTGAAGCCAGACTGGAGCAGCTACATATAACCATGTTATATGGTTTAATATGACACATAACTTCAGCTTGTAGCTTAATCAATAAACTAATGGGTAAACAGATATGGGGTAGCACAGGTCTAAGATTAAAATATCTTTAAGGATGGGTACATATTTGCAAAGTATGAAAACATGCACAGGTTATCTGAACCACGTTTTCCTTCCAGAAATGGTACCAATGCTGAGCTGTGACAGATAAGGGAAGTGTAGGATTCCAAGTAACAGACCCAAAGCAATCAAAACTCTGAGGCCTAGAATTTCCCCAAAGTATGAATTTATTAGGAATGTCATATTGGCACCGCTGGTGAAAATCTGACTCTGAAGGACCCGGAGTTTTCCCCACCCAAATCAAAACCCCAAGTTCTTGCCCCCAGATCACATGGCCCAATCGGGTCGTAGTCTCACCTCCAGCTGGCTCTTGTTCACGCCCCTCCAACACCTGGTAGAGCATCTTTGGCTCCCATGAGAAAGAATGTTATTTTGGCTATCCATCCCCCTCAGCTATCTCTATCTCCCCTCTCACAGCTTCAGGATCCCTGGCTGTGGCAGCTCTGAAGATGCTCCCAAAATGGCTTCAGGGCTGACAGGAAGGTTGTTGTAATGACTAGTACTGGAATTTTAGTCAGGGAAACCTAAATTCAAATCTCACGATCAAGAACTGAAACAAATAGAAATTTATATCCCATTAAGAATTTTTTTTAAATACCAGGAAATTGTATTACAATTTTAGAATGTCAACTTGGAAAGCATCCCTGGCTTGCTCTCGAGCTGCCATAGGCAAGGGGGATGGGAAACCGATGAAGCAACATGGCAGCCACAGACAGGAGCACATTCCAGACATATCTTTCTCAAGGCTGTCTCCCAGGGTTTCCAACAGCAGCCAGAGGGGAGTGGTCTCTACAACCCACAAAATTGCTCCGTTGGCAAATGTGATTGATGATACACCCTGGGGGTAGGGGGGAAACAGGGTCATGATTAGGGCCCTAAATTATTTGGGACCAGAATTTTTGATCTTAAAACTCTTCGAAAAACTTTTGATCTTTACCTCCATTAAGTCAATACAGAAATCCTTCCTCTTACCTCTATGTCCCATATTTTTAGCCATCCAACCAGATCGGCTGTGATGAGGTATTGGTTTTGTTTTTCAGTTGTCATAATAATAGATCCTACTCCACTGTGAGCTTCAAATTCTGCCAGTAGCTTGCTTCTTTGTGTATTCCAAAACCGGACCCAACCAGCACCTCCACAAGAGATAAGGTTGGCTCCACCTAAAATAGGAAGACAAGGAGGCATAAAGAAGGTGGGTCTAATCTCACACTATAAAGCTTGGCTCAATTACATACATAAAAATATATATTATTTGAATAGCGCAAGACCCTGGGGCTGCATGGACCTCTGTATTGGCATCTCTCAAACAATCCTGAAGGACAATTACTGTGAAGAATGTTAGAGAGAGAGAGAGAGAGACAGACAGAGACAGAGACAGAGACAGAGACAGCTGGGAGAGACAGAGAGAAAACATGTCATGTGATTTTGTCCCATGACTGTACTCTATTCTATTTTGTGCAAATATTTATAAGATTAAAGCCTTAATCTTGAAGTCTTCTCTTACATGTTCTTTCTGAGAATTGTCAAATAGAATTGTGCATTTGGTTTAACTTTCTAAATACACGGTTGTTGTTTTTTTCATCATGAGCCATTTTTACTGCAAGTGAAGCTTGCTAGATGGGTGTTGTGTGGCTTTTAGTCTTCATTTTAATACTGCAGCTTTCCACCAGCAGTGAAATATGAAGCAATCCTTCGCATTCTCACACTGAGAGAAGCTATCACAATAAGAAATTAAGCCTTCTTAAGCATTGTTTCAAAGTGACATTCTGCTTGTTATATATTACTTCACCTCTCCTTAGTGTAATAACATTTTCTATATCGGTAATATTTCCCTTCTAGGTTTTTTGTTTATTTCTAATTTTTAACCAATTATACCATTTATTCCATATTTTATAGTAATCTGATTCTTCTCTTTCTTGTATTTCTTTGGTTAACCTATCCATTTCAGCGCATTCTAAAAAATTTTCTATTAAATCTGTTTCGTTTGGCGTTTTTTCTTGCTTCCAACGTTTTGCGTATATTATTCTTGCAGCTGTTAGTATGTGAATTGTGAGATATTTAATATCTTTAGAGTATGATTTATTAAAGATTCCTAATAAAAACGTTTCTGGTTCTTTATCTATCTGTGTTTCTGTTATTTGAAACAGAAACATAATTTCTTTTGTTTATATGTTGTATAAATGTTTGTTGTGTGTATGTTATGTTATGTTTTTTTAATATTTATACTCTAATAAAAATTTATTTTTAAAAAAAGAAATTAAGCTTAGAAACCTATTTCCCAGACTTTTTTTATTTTCTATTTGCAAAACTTGTACACAGCACTGTAAATCTTCATATAAATGGTTTTTACTTTGGCAAAGTAAAGTTCCTCTTGTCAGTTTTATGTAGTTTATGGGCACCAAAGAATCCTAAATAATCCTTAAAGCAACAGATTTCTCAAATCATTGGTCATAAATCTGAAAAAAAGATTCCAATTTACCTTAGAGGGAAACAATGACATTTTCATTCAAGAAACATCTGGAAAAATAAGTGGCTGAGAAATGACTTTATTTTCTGAAGATTAGTTGCAGCAAAGCTCTCAACCGGACCAAAATTCCATCATCATCTTGCAATGCTGTTCCAATTTACAGAGGCATAAATCAATATTTATTTACTTAGACACTCCCTGGGTAACCAGTCTTTCATCATAGATTTGCTCATTTGGAATGTACCTTCAATATCAAACACAATTTACCATATTTTTTTGGAGTATAAGATGCAGCTTTCCTCCCCCCCCCCCAAAAGGGGGTGAAAATTTAGGTGTGTTTTATACACCGAATGTAGCCCCGCCCACCCACTGGCCCCCACCCTTTGGCCTCTGCCTCCCAGCAGTTTACCTCCTTGCAGCAAGCAGCAAGAAGAAACAGCTGGTTTCAGCTTCAGCACAGCCTAATTAGCACAAGTTGATTAGATCGGCCTCCTGACTCTCAGCTGCTTTGCTCTCAGGTGTTTTGCATAGGCCTCTGCTGCTTGCTGCAAAGAGATAAATTGCTGGGAGCAGATTTTTTTTTCCTTGTACTAATCAAGCTATGCTGAAAATGAAAATGAAAGTAAAGCAGGCTATTTGCTGTTTGCTGCAAGGAGGCAAAAATGCTGGGAGGCAGAGGCAGATTTCTTTTTCTTGTTTTCCTCACCCAAAAAGGTAGGTGTGTCTTATAGTCCGGAGCGTCTTACACTCCGAAAAATACGGTAGTTCTGATTCAAATAAAAAGAAAGCAAATGAGTGAGCTGCTTAGAAATATTTATATATGGTAAGTGATGGCATTAATTTTGGGAGAAGGTTAATTCCAGAAATGGGGGAAGGAGAGAATTTCATTAATTATCAAAATGAATGTTTGGGCAGATGTAAGACAAAGTAAGGAGGTTTCAATACTTCTTAAATATATTTTGGGATGAAAAGTATAGGAATTGTGAGGAAGATGTTTGAATATAAAAATATTATAATTTCATTGTATAAATTCACAAGGCCTGAATCATAAATCAGAGCTGGAGAAAAAAGTTCAGATATACCGAAAGACAAGAAAAAGTGAGATAGTTCTTCTTTTTCATCATCAAAATCCTTTATTCATCTGTCTGAAACCTCTGCTGTCCTCACTAATCTTCCCTCTTTTTAAAATTTCAGTTAGGCAATGTATCGCCTTACTCCAAGGAGCTTTATATGATCTAGGCCTCAGAAAAATATAGGAAGGGATTATAGGTAGGCCTTACGATCTCAATTGGGACCAGATTTTCCATCTCTAAGCAAGGCGGTTATTAAGTGTCTGATTTTAGGTCTTTAAGTAAATCCAAACAAAAGTAGTTGTTAAATGAATCACACAGTCATTAAGGAAATCCAGCTTCCCTCCCCCCCCATTGGCTGGAAGCTAGCTAGGAAGGTTGCATATGTCAGTTATATGTCCTCAAGAGGCTGCAACTATGGTAAATACATGCCAAGGCCAAGCACCCAAATTGTGATCACACAACCATCGGGATGGCTTGAAATGCAACGACCAGTCATAAGTCACTTTAGTGTCATTGTAACTTTGAAAGTTTGCTAAACAAATTGTTGTAAATTGGGGACTGCCTTGTAAACCGCTTAGAGAGGGCTATAAAGCACTGTGAAGCAGTATATAAGTCTAAGTGCTATTGCTATCAGAAAGGACTTATAGTTTACCTGTGGCTGAGATATTTCTACTCTCCAAGAAGACAAGTCTAGTTATAGCATTGCAGTTTTCAGCTTCAGAATTAGCTGCAGACCTCATATGTTTGTCAGATGTTTTGTTCTGTAGCATTGGAGAACCTGTGGGGAATAATAATAATAATAATAATAATAATAATAATAATAATAAGATAAGCAGCAAGAAAAAATCACAAAGTACCGGGATTTGCAAATTGAAGTTGAGCGACTGTGGAAGAAGAAATCGTGTGTTGTCCCGATTGTAATTGGAGCTCTTGGAGCAATACCCAAAGGGCTACCCCGCTATTTAGAAATTCTAAATTTGCCGGACTTGAACATTTTGACTCTACAAAAAACCACCTTACTCGGAACAGCTTTCATCCTCCGACGATACCTTAACAGTTCCTAGGTCCTTGGTTAGGACTCGAGCTGCTGAGTTATTAACCAGCCTCAAAGGCTGTGAATCTCACTAAAGATTAAATAATAATAATAATAATAATAATAATAATAATAATAATAAACCCGATAAGTGTATATGATGTGGAGGGGAAGCCAGATTTCACAGTGCCAACAATGACCATGATCCCAAATATAAAAGATGAATCTCTGTTCCCAATTTAATATAGAGTAATAGCAATGGTGTGGTGGCTCAGTGCCTAAGATGCTGAGCTTGTCAATTGAAAGGTCATCAGTTCAGCGGTTCAAATCCCTAGTGCCATGTGACAGAGTGAGCTCCCATTACTTGTCCCAGCTTCTGCCAACCTAGCAGTTCGAAAGCATGTAAAAAATGCAAGTAGAAAAATAGGGACCACCTTTGGTGGGAGGGTAACAGCATTCTATGCGCCTTTTGCATTTAGTCATGTTGGCCACATGACCAAGGAGACATCTTTGGACAACACTGGCTCTTTGGCTTTGAAACAGAGATGAGCACCACCCCCTAGAGTCGGAAACGACTAGCACATATGTGTGAGGGGAACCTTTACCTTTACCTAAAAGCAATAGCCATAGAACTTAGATTTATATACCACTCACAGATTTATATACCACTCACTTACCTTCTCTAAGTGGTTTACAGAATCGGCATATTGCCCCCAACAGTCTGAGTCCTCATTTTACCCACCTTGGAAGGATGGAAAGCTGAGTCAACCTTGAATCGGTGAGACTCGAACTGCTGACCTGCTGGCAGCCAGCAGTCAGCAGAATTAGTCTGCAATGCATGTCAAAGAGTTTTGGAGAGCTATTTGGGGAGATTAATATGAGATCTGTGGATAGAATGCTTCCATAAAAAAACAGAAGCCTCATTAGTAATTTTCTTTTATATAATTCTAAACCAGTTAGCTTTGCTGGACACTTTAAAATATTTTTAAAAGATGACATAGGAACTGAATTCTCGAGATCACAAAATTTATGCTAAGTTACACAATTATTTATTTATTGGTTCAATTTATATGCCGCCCTTTTCCGGAGACTCAGGGCGGCTTACAATGCGTTAAGCAATAGCCTTTATACTTTCATATATACCTGCTTAGTAGGGCTTTGGGGGGCCCCTCTAAGCGGTGTTCTTTTTTATACAAAGTCAGCTTATTGCCCCCACAAACCGGGTCCTCATTTTACCTACCTCAAAAGGATGGAAGGCTGAGTCAACCTTGAGCCTGGTGAGATTTGAACTTGCAGTAATTACAGGCAGCTGGTGTCATTTAACAGTGCTTTAGTCTGCTGCATCACCAGACTCCCATAATATACTAGAGCTGGAAAAATGGGATTGTGGGAATCAAGCTTTGGCCTTGAGGATAAATTGATTATTCTCTTCACCTTTAATATGGCTTATTTGTTGGGGCACAAAATTGTGTTAGAGTAACCTGGTTTTAGGATTTAGCATGCAAAATGTAGCAGGGGTGGGTTCCACTTACCTTTACTACCAGTTCGCAGCAGGAGGGTGCGCAGATCACTCATGATGATGTCGTGGTGGCTGGGTGGAGAATCCTGCCGGTTTTACTACCAGTTCCATAGAACCGGACCGAACCAGGAGCAACCCACCACTGAAATGCAGTGTGTGTATCACTGAATGCATATAGACATTGAATACATACAGTTGGTATGCAATTTGGAGTCATGACTTGTGACTCTTGTCTGTGGCCAGTGGGAGCTTTTGCATATATTCATGAACCAATTTTGCTCCTTCCTGACTCATACCTTGGTCATTTCCCATTTGGAACTCCTCTACATGGAGCTGCCCTTGAAAACTAGCCAGAAGTTATAACTGGTACAGAATGCAGTGATATGCACAGTGATGATGGATCCCCCTAAATTTGGCCACATTACACCTCTCCTACATAATCTGAATTGGCTCCCAGTTTCCTTCCAAGTGCAATTCAAGGTGCTGGTTATTATCTTTAAAGCCCTCTATGGAACAAGATCTGGTTATTTGTTAAACCAGCTCTCCCTAAGAACATCTGCTTGTCCGACCACATTCAGTAGATTAGGAGAACATCTAGTCCCCTCTTTTAAATGCTGCCATCGTCTGGGACTTAGGAAGTGTGCCTTCTCCATGGCAGCCTTTGGAACACCCTTCCTATCGAAATCTTCTAAAATACTCTGAAGATCTGGCTTTTCCCCCAAGCACTGGATCAGTGGTGGGTTGCTCCCAGTTCGGTCCGGTTCTTGCGAACCAGTAGTAACAGCGGCGGGAGGCTCCGCCCACCCTCCCGGACGTCATCATGAATGATCTGCACATGTGCAGAAGCTTCTGCACCTGCATATGAGCATGCGCACGCTCCCATTGCAAACCGGTAGTGGAGGTAAGTAGAACCCACCCCTGCACTAGATAGGGTGAGATTGTGAAATGTACTTGTTATGGGCTAGGTCTTTGGATTGTAATTGTTTTGAATTTAATATTTTTATTGTAAATAGATGTTGTCTTATGTCTTGGTTGGGAACCACCCAGCATTTGGGACAAGATGAGTAGCTCTATAAATGTTTGAAATGAATAAATAAAACTTGTCGTGTCATTCAAAATTAGGACTACCTGTTCAAGACTGCAAACAATCTGAATCACTGCTAGATGGAAACAAAGACTTACAGTTTTCTGTATCTCTGTGCTACCCTCTAGCCTCCAAATTCAATTGGTTATGTTAACCCTGTCTATAGTTTGGTAGGAACATGCCAATATTATGAAACAGTTATGATAGTAACTAGATTTTGCACAATGAAGTTGACATATGAATCTATAGTTTAGGTTCATATGTCATATTATACTAACGATTTTCATAAAACAAAAAAAAAGTGACTACTTATAGTTATCTTCTCATGACTGGGTTATTTAAGGGAAGCAAAAGTGAGAACAAGAGAAAAAGTAGACTCAGTAATCAGATTTCAATATTACATGCAATAGTTTTGTTTCTATCTTCATCCAGATTTGGTATGGCTCATAGGTTAAAATAATAATAATTGAATATTATGTCCACACAGCGATATCCAGAGGGGCAGGGGACTCATAATAAAGTCTGTTTTGTGCTACATAGAAACATCGGGGACTTTTAAAAAAAACCAATCTAATTAGGTCTATAAAAGTTTAAAACTAACTCTAAAATTATATAGCCTTACCTGTTGGCTTTTGACGTAACTTGGACAGCCTGTTGCTTTGATTACATTTTGATCTAGTTGGGTAAAGACTGTGGCTCCTTATAATGGTACATTTCTGTACACCCAACATCCACACGGCTTATTTTTTAATATATATGAGAACTTCGGTGCTCTCAGAGGGATTTTCTATTCATTTTTTTCAGCTTTCAAACACTATAGCTTTGTGATCCATGGAGAGCTGATCTCTAAGCCTGTTCAGTTTCAAAAGGATATGGAGTGGGAACATGGGAATGGAGTAAGAATGCTGGAAGAGAAATGAAATCCCTAAATCTTTCTGGGTGTAAGAACAATTTATGTGGGTTTTTGGTTTCCAGTATACAAGCGATATCAGCACAAGTAAATGTGCTTATGCTGTTGAGATAAAGTAGTATCTTAATTAGTCTCTTAGCTAAGCTGCTGGGTTTTTTTTAAGGGGAAAGTATTCAGCTACTTTAGCTTTCTTGTTTCTGCAAAAGGAGGGAAGCTGAAAGTTATAATGTAAAGGCTGTCAAAGTTCCTGCTGTAGTGCTATAAATGTAAAATTATTAGAATGTTATTTGTGGCTTGTTTCTCCCTGAGGGTATCCGCCCATCCTACTAGGTTAGATAGAATGGGTGGGTTATGGAGTCATTTGATGGGACCTTGGGGGACTGCCTTCTTGATGGGCCGCTTCAATTCTTTGAAACAGTTTCCTACCTGAGACCCAAGGAATCCCTACTCTTTTAGCTTCCTGGAAGGCTGTGAAGACCTGGCTCTTCCCCCAAGCATTGAGTTACCGTAGGAGTTGAACTATGAGAGTGATTGGTCTGGCGTGTGGGAGAAGGGTACTTTTGTTTTTAACTATGGTTTTTATGGATTGTTGTCAGTCACCTTGAGTCATCATGTGAGATAAGTGGGCATTAAAGTCTGGTAAATAAATAAAATTAACAAATTCGAATGAATCATTTTGTAGGCAATTCCGCAGAGTAATGCCACCTACATAATACAGCATATTTTCAATAAGCAGTTCTACTGGTATTGTTTCCTTAGCAATAGAAACATGAAATCTGAAGTTAGTTAGTTAGTTAGTTAGTTAGTTAGTTAGTTAGTTAGTTAGTTAGTGTTACCAAGTTTCAGAGGCTACAGAGTTACAATTACTTCCCATACATTTCTTCACATAATTCAGGGATGAGCTGATTCTGGGGTCCATATTTTACTCTGAATGTAGCCTTCTCCAAATGTCTTCAAACATAAAGGGAGATATGATGTAATTGCGATTACAGAAACATGATGGGGTGAATCTTACCCAGTAGTAGAATACCTTGTTTCAGAAGAACAGGTAATACAGGAGAGGAGGGGGTGTTGAGTTTTATAACAGCAAAGAATATATATGTACAGAGGTCCATTGGACTGATATTAATAATAATGTTGAATGGTTAAGATAAAATGGCAAGCTAACAGAATGGGTATCTTGCTAAGAGTATAGGAAAAAGAGTAAACAGAGCTAGGGGGAGGAGTTAAGC